AGGCTCTAGATTTAGTGCTAAGCTAGGTTTGTGTCCTGGTTTTGCTAGGACAACAGTATGACCTTGGGCAACCTAATCCCTTGGCTTCTGTTTCTTAAAAAGTTTCCTACGTTACAGAGTCCGTTTCTCACTTGGAGTCTTTCAGGGATTGTGTGTGCTTTTGAGCACCTCTCCCAGGAGCTCAGGGCCCACCTCTCTGTTCTGCTAACAGGCTGACATTTCCCTTCTGCTTCCTAGTCTCCAGAATGGGGTGTGTGTCCCCACTCCTGGTTTCTGTGTCCTTATGAGTTTGTGCTTTCTTAACAAAATCCCTCTTCTGCTTGCTTAGAGCTACATTCCTAGAGGCACACCGTTAAATTCATGCATTCAATTTGCCATCTTTAACCAGGAGTCATCTTTACATTTTTAAAGGAACATTTTTTAACTACATTTCTTACTATAACAACAGTGTCTTTTGAAATTCCCTGTAAAAGAATAAATTTACTTCACCCATATGTGGAATCTAATGAACAAACTGAACTCAAAATAGAGAAAGACTCATAGATAGAGAGCAGGATGACAGCTTTGGGGGGTGATTGAGGGTGGTTGAGGGGTGAAGGGACCAAGCTAAAAAGAAAAAGGACTCATGGACATGGACTACAGGGTGGTGATTGTGGCTGGGAGGGCAGTAGGTGCAGGTGGAAGAGGTTATGGGGGAGATAAATGGTAATGAAAAAAAATACAATAAAAAAACTCTTAAAAAATAATAAATATAATGTTTCCCTCTTCACTCCTGTTTTCATTAGCATAATCTGAGAATTACATATTTTATATTAAATTATCCCTTAAGAACAATAGCATTTAATTTGACAGTGAAATATAGGGCAATTGTTTATGTTGCTAACCATAGTCTGTTTATTTTAAAACTATACTTTTTGAATCATTAGTTTGTATTTTTATCTCAGTGAATTGTAATTGGCTAAGCAACTTTTTAGGAAAGGCTAAAGAGTAATGTATTTTCAGAGTCTTTAGATATAGGAGACTGTTTTTCATGTCCCTTTACAAGTGACAGGCAGTTTGACTGGTTATAGTTTCTTCGATGGAGTCTTCTCTTTCTTCTGTGATGTGGTAATACACAGGAGAAATTTAAGACCAGCTGGATATTTGTTCTTTTAGTTGTAACTTATTTTCATTTGGCTTATGTGTTAACTTGTTTTCATGCCTAAATACTGAAGGATTTTTTTTTTTAATTTTAACTCCAGGACTCAAAATTTTTGTCAGAATGTGGCTTTGAGTTGTTTGGCATACAATTTAGTTTTTTTTTTTTCAGTTCACTTTTTAAAAATTGTGTCTCTGATGATTACTTCTATTTCAGTTCTTCACTTGTGTTTTCTCAGAAAAACTATAATTAGGCTTGGTTTTTCCCATCCCCCAGATCTAGGGTGTCCTTCCACCCATTGGTTCTCTTCTCCAGCCCTATGTGGGTGTTTATCTTCTCCATCAATGAGTTAATTTTACACAGTATGTATCTACTTCCCCATCCATGTGGGTAATAATGCTGTCACTTCACTTTTAGCTTCTTTATTTCACCTATAGTATCTTTTTATCTTACCCAATAGTCTTTATTGATTGATGGTTTTCTAATTTTGATTTTTAGGGATATATCTTCTTATATACACAATGCCAAATACTTTTCTAAAATTCATTTCTGATTCCTTTAGGGAGACATTTTTAGGAGATGGTGCTTCCTTTGGATCTTTAGCGTGCCCGTTTCTTTATGTACTTACGCAGTACTTCCTAGTAGACCTATGTGGATATTTAGCTGTTACTTTGATTATTCCTGAATTTGGAAATAATCCATCTAGATCTGCTCACAGAAAGGGTGCCTGGGTTGTTCTTGGCCTCATTCTTTGTCCTCTGTTTGCCAGTAAGTCTTCTTTAGATCTGGCAGTTTATAAGCCCTGTTGCATCCTCATGGTCTAAAAGAGTTTTATCTAAAGCAACTATCTCCAGTGTCTTGTTCTTTGTTCCTCTCTATATAGATTACATATAGCATTCTAATGCCCAGAATGCAATGCCACCTTATCATCTTGTCCATAAATCTGCTTTTCTGCAACTGAATTTCCTAGGATGCTGAGTGCTTCCCTTTCTTCCAACTCGTTGTTTGAAAGTTGCAGTCACTAATTGGTGGGGTGGGGGGTATTCTCCCGCTGCCTCAAAAAACATTGTTTATCACAGAGAGCTGGCTGGGTTTCTCAATGATACAGATTTTTGTATTTCTGTGCAAGATGACAGAGTGGAGATGGGAAGATATACAAAGATTTTCCTGCTTCTTACAAGACTCATAACTTGTTTCTTGTTGCCTTTTATTACATTTTAAAAATCTGACTTATTCTTTTTTTTTCTCTTGTAAATTTTTTCTCTGATTCTTGGAACAGGTTGAAGGTTATTCCCTCCTTTTTGTGGTTACACACACCTTTATTTACCCCCTTTTATAGATACTTTTCTGGGAGGTTGGGAGAGGCTTTTTCTGGGCTGGTAGCTGGCTAGACACCATATGAAACTTTAACTTACATGAAACTAACAAATTTTAAAAGTACTTTCTGCATGTGGCAGAATGCTTGAAAATTTTTCTTTCCGCAGATATTTTTATGGAAATAAACTCTTCTGTGTAAATATTAATCACAAGTTGTTATTCAAATGGTGGAGGCATCTGTTTTTCTGTAATAGAACCTATGTCTTATGAAAACTCAGTCATTTTGTGATGAAATAAAAATGTAGATAAGTCATTGTAGGATTTCCAGTGACTTCCATAAAATTTTTATTTTATATACATAAAAACTACCTGATCACTGCCTATTAATAAAAGTCTTAGAGCTAAAGCAGCTGCTATAAATTACTTAAGTTGCAAATTCAGTTTCTTTCAGGGCCCAGAAAAGTGACCTGCAAATTCATGAAGTAGGTTGGATTAATATAACAGGGATTGAAAGGGACTAGAGAGAAGTGGAGATTACTATGTTAGCCAGTCCTTGGGCCACTAGTATAATAACAAAAGCAGTGTAATATAAACCTACTCTCCCCTAATAGAGATGGAAGTGAAGGCAAGGGATGTTAATAGATCTGTCCAGTATTTGGAGAATCTATGTGTCTTAACTAGAGCTGGCTACATTATTTGCAGGGCTCAGTGCAAAATAAAATGGGGCCCCTCATTCAACAATGATTAAGAATTTCAAGACAGCGAGAGCAAAGCCTTAAACCAAGCATGGGACCCCACGTGACTTGCACAAATTACATGCCCTTGAGGCTATCCCTGGTCTTGGCTTCTGATCTAGAATTTGTACACACAAATGGAAAGAAACACATGCTCTCACCCACAACCAACAAAAATTGATAATGGAGAGAGATGGGTTAAATTAAGTCCTTCTCTGCCTGACTTATTTCACTACATCCATCCATGTTGTTGCAAATGGCAAGAATTCCTTTTTCTTTATTGCTGCACAGTATTCCATTTTGTATTGTGTGTGTGTGTACCAATATATATCACATCTTCTTTATCCATTCATCTATCAATTGTACACCTGCAACTAATATAACCAACATGAGATTGTGTACTAACTATACTTAAATTAAAAAACTCAAAAAAAGCTAAAATTAAATCCTTGATTTTGATTCTGCAGTAACTAAGGAAACCACCTTTAATCATAAGAGAGCTTTTGTATGGGATTTTAGAAACATTGCTTCTTTACATTCTTTGGAAGTTTTTGTTGAATAATTACTGCTTCCATCAGTTTTTATTGATTCCTACTGCATTCAGGTTTTATGAACTCTTAGTTGAAGGTTTCCAACCTGAGGTTCTCAGCTCTTTTCTAAATGTTAGCTCTGACTTGAACTTCAGAATGTCTGGAGAGTCACTGAACCCGGGAACAAAACTCCAAGGGACACTGGCTGTGGGGTCTTACTCTGTCTCTTACGTGAGTGTAGTTGTCATTTCTTCTAGGAAGTTTTGTCCATAACTTGAATACTATCCTAAAATAATCCTTTTTCCACCATATTTGAAATTTAAATTGCTTGTAAACAGAAAAAGCAGTTCACTTCCTGACAAATTGAAGCTGACTAGTCATTTTCTCCTGGTAATTTACAACTTAAAACTCACAGTACCTTTAACACCATTAATAAGATAACCTGAAGAATCCCATTCAGTGAAACCTGGCCAGCTTGTAAGGACACACTCAGAAAATATAAGAAATAAAATTGGGAATTAAATACTAGCATAACAGTGCTTTTGTAGTATCTAACTATCTGATTTATATGAAGTCTACATAAAGTCATATTTTAAAAGACTTAAGCATTAAATAAATCATTTAAAATGGAAGGAGAACTTAACATTTTTTCCTCATTAAAAAAAGGAAAGTCTAACAACTAGATCTACAGCTTGGAATGGTGTGAGATTGTCATTAAGTTGTACCTCAGATGGATGAGTTATATTTCAGATGGATTCCTGTATGTAGTAGCATCCACAAAGATGTTGATAAATATCTATAAAAGACAAATGAAGAAAAATACCTTACCTGATTTCAAAATATTAAGGTTTTTATTTTTAAAACAAATATGAACTTCAGTTAAGTTAATATCTGAATCAGACAGAATTCAAATCTATCTTATAGATCTTCATATTGTTGAAATACACCCCTCCATGAATGATTAACCAGGCGAAATTCACATTAGGGAAGAGAAGATGAGCAATGGGCAAATGGGCAAGAGAAATGGGCAAATACATTAAGTAAGTGAAAGGAAATTTAAGTTGTGAATGTAACTACTAATATTTAAAATATTTGCGATAAGCCATGCACATGAGTGTGTCTGTTCTGCTAGCACTGAAACTGCTCATTAAATTTGATCTCAGGTTGGGGCATGGACGGGGTTGGGGGACATATTTAATAGACTTTTTCACTCACATGTTTCAGAATATGCAATGAAATATATAAGCCAAATGTCATAGAATTTTTTTTAACCTTCTACAGGTGGAGATTTTCATTTTACCTTTATGTATTTACCTACGGAGTCCGGTTCCTGAAAAAGGTACGGCCTGTCAAGTTACTTCATGTAATTCTTATGTGCCTGTAAGCCTGAATCTCTTTTTTCCCTATGTGACAGTGGTAATATTTTAAACAATCATAATAGGCTCCTTAAGAATTATCTGTGTATTTTTTAACTTACAAAAATATTTGCAGTTTATTCTTTACAGTAAGTAAGTTTCAGTCAGATTCCTAAAATGCTTTTGAAAGTAATTTGTTTTTTCAGTGAAAGATGTTTCTAAATCCTCTGACCACTCTAGTTGGTTATTTATTACTTGTGGGCTTAGGAGCCTTAAAAAATCCATTAAAGACTTTGAAAGAAGTTCATGTCCACATCATACAATGTGAAAAAAATCAGTTGTAATGTGTGTTATCATTGTAGTCTTCACCAGTAGAATTATAGTTTAGTGTCTGCATGGTTATTAACAGAGTTACACCAACTACTGGTAGAAAATTCAGTTGCTTTAATAGACTGTATTTCCCCTGCTGCTTTCCAGTTCCTGCGTGGACTGAGCAAGGCACCTTCAACTATGAAAACACTTCTCTGAGGCTGCCACAGTCTTCTCAGTTATTTCAGTGCCTCATGTCACTACTAACAATTGGGCTGCTTAAAGTCAAGATTCATGAAGACTGGTTTTCTCATTATCATGTACATGTGAACAATAGTTGTTAGATTTATTGACAGAAAATGGGAAGTTATTTTTTTAATATTTAATATCATTAACCTTTAAAGTTATATCCATTTTGTCTTTATTTAGTTCAGAAAATTTTTCCAAAAGAGGGCATTGTGCCAAGTGGCATGCCTTTACTAGTAACTTTTCATGTAAATATTGGTGTGAAAATTGCAAATACGTTTTTCTTTTTAAAGTCTGGGTTACAAGATATTGTCTGCCTGTGGTAAATTCTATTATAAAGAGCTGCTGTTTCCCAGTATCTTATTTTCTTAAAGGAAATATTCTTTTTACTCATCTTCTCCTTTGGTAACTACACGTAATTTTCACTCAATAACAGCACATGCCCCAGAGGCCATTTGAGTAGATTGAAAAGGATGAACTTCATTCTGTAGACTTTTCAAGCATGAAGAAATTCTCAACTTGGGTAAATAAATGTGATGGAAACTGCTTATTTTGGAACCATACTGTTCTAGTTTTTAAACTTATTTAGGGAAAATATGGGAAGAATGGCTGTAGAGCTTCTATACCTACAATTTTATTAGCTTGCGAGAGGAAATAGCTTTGCATGAAATTTTGGCTGACATGGCAGAGCTGTGCTCATGGGGATGCCAACTTGCTCGCTGAGGTCACAGCTTGGAGTTCACATTGCGCTCTGTTGGCGAAGGGCTTTGATGGTGAGCAAGGAGAGCTAGTGAGAGCCAGGAGCACTGTTTCCCCTTTCCTCCAGATCTGCAGGATATGGTCTATTATGGCTCTCATGCAGCCAGCCTGGCCATCTGTCATCAGGGCAGGAAACACTTTGACACTTAGTTCTGCTTCACTCTGTCTCTAAACAAACTGAGTGGGACAAGAATACTTTTAATCCTCAAGTCCTGAGTGACTCTGTAGAAGGCTGTAAGAGGGCCTGTCAATAGAACATTTATTTCAAAAGCGTTTTTGTTTAAACTATACCAGTCCCCTTTCAAATTGTTCCTAGTCATAACACATGCTTAAAAAATGAAAAAGAGAACTAGATGTTGTTCTTCATGTTGAATTATTTGTATCTGGGGTTTCTTCCTTTAATAGTGTCTAAGATGCAGCCAGTTGTGGATGGATTATGTTGTTTAGTCTGATCACGTGTGGTAGAAAGTGCCCATGGAATCCATGTGACCGGACTAGCGGTAGAGGACTTCATAAGCCACCTTGTCCCACCCTTGTATTTCACAATTCAGGAAGCAGAAATCCCGAGAGGGTAGGTAGCATTCCAGAGGTCACACAGTCAGTTTATTAAGGGCTAAAACTGAAATAAAACACACTGCTGTCTCTTACTCCAGGGTTTTCTCCACCTCACCAGTCTACTGTAACCCTAGCATGATTTCCAAATGACTTCCTTCTTCGGTTAAGGTGGCAAAATTTATCCAGTGTAGTCATTGTTTCTATTATAGAACTTTAAATATCTACTCTAACAGATATTGAAAGTATATTTCTATTAACGTCCTTGGAATGGACAATATATTTGTCCATCTAACCTGAGAGGAAAAAAAATATTATGGAGGCAGCAGCAGAAATAATCAAAAGAAGGTAATTCAGATTTTCACAATACCCTTAAATGTTTTAAAGTAAAATACGAGGATGATGGACCAGTGTTGAGAGGTGAGAGGCCACAGCTGCTTCTTATTTCCAGTGTCACAAATATGGATTATTATGTGGACTCTTAGAGAAATGATGAGGCAGCTTGCACTGTCTGGTTTTCTTCTGCCTTTAGATTGAATGAACCTGATACATCTCATTGTTTAGGGTGGATTGAGTATCTTTAAGAACGTTTCTACCCTGAAATTCTCTGATTCAGTTAAAAAGGTATTTATTAAATACAAAGTACCATGTACCTACAGTAATTGATAGAGAATCTTAAAAAGTAAATGCAAACAATTTTATTTTTAAATTTTTGAAAATCATAGATCTTTAAGTGTAAAAGTTATGCATTGATCTAATAACTTATTTCATAGATGAGACTAGGAGGTATCAGTCTCTGGTGTAAGAATAGCTTTGGTTTTCTCTGCCACATTGAAATACATCAGGGGGCCCCCAAAGAAATGGAATTACTGTCTGGAGGGTGGGCCCCTTGTGGTACAGGTTTCCCTTGTTAGACTAGTGTTCTAGGAACCCATCTGTATCAGGGCACCAGCTGGCATTGTTGTGAGAAGCTGTGTTCGGCTTTGGTGAATTTTTTTGGAAGACTCTTTCAACACATTTGCCCATTTCACCATGGGTGATTTACGAGCACACCTGCCCACACTGCACTGAGTGTTGAGCAGTTTTTGACCAAAAACAGCATGACCCCCATGCCCCACCCTCCCTATTCACTCGATCTTTGGTTTCCCTGAATGAAAAAAAAATCTTCAAAGAGAAACATTTTGCAGATGTGGAAGAGGTGAAAAAAAATGCATCAAAATGGAAGAGTTCAAAAACTGTTTTGAGCAGTGGGAAAAAAGTCTCAATAGGTGTATTGCATCAAATGGAGAGTACTTTGAAGGTGACTGAAGTTTAAACATATAAGAATAAATACACAATTTTTCTATAAAGAAATTCTGTTTTGGGGGTTCCTCCCCTTGTACATTCAGGTTCAATGCTGGAGTTTTATCAAATGTTGTTAACTTTTCCAGTTTAAATTGGCTTAACCCTATAGGAAGAATATATATATATTTCTCTGGATTTTAAGTAGAGTTTCAAAGTATAAATATGACTGATTTAAGTGCCCTCAGTTTTAAAATATTTTTTATACTCAGGAATACAAACAGTTAAGAGTTTTTAATTAAATATATGTAAACTAGGTTTATGTCAGTAAACATTTGTACTGTCTTAGTCTTGGTCCTCTGAGAATAAGACACCAAGGAGAGGTTAAATGTGTAAGAAATTGATTAGGGGAAGTGCCTGAGAGAGAAAATGGGAGGGGGTCAGAGGGAGGCTGGAAGAGCCTTCAGACCGCAGTGTGAGTGTGACCCTGAGTGCGGGAGAGAGGGAGGGAAGGGAAGATGCTGCATGGAGCTCTTAAGACTGCTGTGCCGTTCTAAGGACAGTTCAGTAGGGCTGTCCGGGAGTCTTGGAGCCACAGGCGATCATCAGAGGAGACCTCTGTCTCCCAGAAGTGGGCTTGCCCTTATTCTTCCTGTGGTTCTCGGTCATTGCCCTGAAGCAACCTGTCCAGCTTGGCATTCCTGCAAATGCAGCTGTGGATTTTAGAGCACAGCTGGACTCTGGGTCAATGATGACCCCGCCGTCCAAGATAGAAAAAGCACATTTTCATGGTTGCCATGTATGCTTTATTTAAAAAAAAAAAAATTCCAGGTATTCTGAGAAAAACCAAAGGATACCTCATGGAATAAAGCCCTAAGTAACAAATTATGTTTTCATATGTATAATGCCTAGAAGCATAGAGAACTATGCTCCCATTGTACTTTGTTTTCATTTGACGTACATGCTGCATTCACCTTCATTATATCATAGTTCTGGTAGTTGATGTATAATTGTATCTTTGGAGCAATACACAGGCTGACTTCCTGCCTGAGCTGGGTAGCCATTCAATCTGTCTTAGGGTTAATTCCCTTTTGTACTCAAATGACCCAGTTTGGGTGAGAAATTAAATGGTCACCCTACGAATAGTTCTATAATAAATGAAGAAATAATTGGTCCTATATTTCACAATTTTCAGACATCCTGTAAAGCATGTATGTTTGTGTAAAATTAGCAAGATGTCTCCTGTAGTTTCTTGATCACACATGAGGGGATGAGCCTCATTTATAGTGATGTGATACTGCTCGGGTGTGCATATGTTATATATTGTCTTTGTTTCCTTAGCTTAGAGCTCCCTTTATGGATAGCACTAACTTTGATCATGGAAGGAGACTCTAGAAGGCAGTCATCATACAGACATGTTAGTGAACTATTAAGTAAAGTTATTGCTATGTTAGTAGGAAATATTTAAATAGGTAAAGATTAGCCTGGCTCACTAGTCTCTTTCTATAACTGCTGGACACAAATGACTCTTTGCCTGACAATGTGATTTGGCAGACAAGAACTTTTATAAAGGAAGACTCAGAATTACTTCAAGTGCTCTGAAACCTTGCTACATAATGTACTCATACAGATCAACACTTTCCCAGGTCCTGACAGACACCACCTATCAAGCCTTTAAAAATAAAGGAAGCCATCTCTCATTTCCTGTTACCTCCTTTCTCATTTGTAAGTGGAAATTTGCATTGGATGGAGTTCTTTGAATATTTTTCCTTGACTTCCTTTATTTATTTATTTTTAAGATACTGTGTCACAGGAAGGTAATGTAGATATATATGCA